GGGAAAATTATTCCTACGTTTTAAAAATTGATTGCTTGAATGATCAGTTAGACGAAGTTTAAAGAGTCGTACATAGCAATTCAAATGAATCAAATGGAAAGATATGTAACTAAATCAATGGTGCTGAACACACATCGACCCAGGTCTTCGGTGAAATACCTTTCCTGCTTCATTTATAAAGCTGTATATGAAGATGAGATTCCACACAGACAAGATGTTGAAGATTTCTAAAGGTCAAACACTGATATCAAAGCAAGCCAGACATGTGTTTCCTTAAAATAATATTATTTAAAGCCTGGAGAAATAACAACTGACATAGAGACTTTACTGTATTCAATCTAGGGAGTTTCTATTAATTTCACTTATGGAAAGCCAATGGTCTAATAATTGGTAATATTTTATTCCCCACTTCTCATTTGAAGAAAGGGAGGAAAAACTGTAGATAAATGATCAGTGTTACTATGTTTTATTACATGAATCAAGGGAAAAAAATTATAGTCTAATTTTCTCCCAAATAACTATAGAAATAAATGCTTCAAAACACAAAGTACTCAAGTGAACATTGAACATAGTACAAGATTTTAAAGAAAACTTCAAAAATTAAAAAACCCAATATTATAAAACTCTCATAAACATGGTGTCACCTCACACAATGAAAAATCATCTGAAACATGATGAAGGTACTCAGGAGTGTTGATTGTCAAGCGGTGAAATTCTTTAATAAAAATAGGATGCAACAAGAAGCAGTATGAAGCTGACATGTAAGATGAGACTAAAGTTAGGAATTAAGAGAAACAAACTCTTTCTGCAAGATCTGAAGCTGGATGTACATGTAGAAGGATAGTTTATTACTTAAACAGTATGTACAAATTCTAAACGTAAATAACGAGTAACAGAATATCAAGCTCTATTTACAATTACATTTTTTACAAAATGTTTTTACAAGGAGCATTTCTCTAAATAACATGACAGACAAAAAAAATCTTTCTGTATTACATACATAAATAAATATTGAATTTAAATGATTATTATAGGAACATAATTTCTACAGCCGATTTGGGTAACAGATAAGTATTTCACACTACAATATAATTAAGTAAAAAGGAAAAAATTACATGTAAGCTCTGTTAATAACTTTGTGAATTGTACCATACTAATATATTCAGTAGAGGTAAGACAGCCATTATGTTTCATGCCTAGAACTGAACAATGAGTTTTGGCATGCAAAACCATATATAATCATCAACATCTGCAGGTATTCATTTACATTTTTTAATAAAGATTTTATTTCAACTACATGCAACAGCTTATTAGCATCTTATTCTTGGTTACAAAGCACAAGTTTGTATAATATTATTTATAGTAACTGGTGTTACAAGTACTGATCAAAAGTGTAGGAATAAACTTGGCATGTAGGGTAAGAAAAAGAATTAATAAATAAGTCACAACTACTTTACATATACACAAGACAAAAATAAATTTTCGGATGGTGTTGTACAAGAAATTTAAAACAGTCTGGGCCTTATCCTGTGCTCTTTAAGACCCTGATTTAGGATGTTTAAGTGCATCCTTATTCAAGAGAGGAGTACAACACATGCTCCATTTTAAACATGTGCTTATGTCCCATTCATGTCAAGATAGTTAAGCACAAAGATGTTTCTGTCCAGAATAGAAATATTTTTCCTCAATCAGGGCCTATATAACCAAAATGCTGACCCTATTCAATCACACATTTTGGATATGAAAGGAATGCAGATTAGGTTGACTTGAGTATTCAGGCCACATCCTGTTCCTACTAAACTGAATGACAATTCCCACTCACATTGGAGCAGGGACCAACAAGTATTTCTTTAACTTTCTGTATGACCGTGTAAAGCGCTGTTGCCTCCTCTTAATTAATGTATCATGTTCTCCACTGCCACGGAATGTGACAAATTGAATGCACTCAGCATCTCAAGGATCAGACCCTTTATTTGTAAAAATATCTTGTCCCCAAGTGCCACATTTGCACATGATGTGCATAGTGTATCATGATGCAGGTGTTAGCACAGCCTACATTTTCCTCTACATTTTAATATATCCTAGTTCTTCTGCTTTTTGAAAATTGTATACAGTTCCTAGCATGAGAAGAGGAATAGTAGTTGAGGAATGCAGGGCAGCTGGGGTACCAAAACAAAATGTTCTTTCTTAAATTGCCTTTAATATTAAGGAAAAATAATCAAATGCACAAACAAGTTAGCTAAATGTCATAATCTTATAATTTGTCATGAGGGAAAAAATAGACAAACAAATGTTCATCTAGGATTCAAATGATAAGTCCACCAGAATTGTACGTAAGTAATACCTAGGTATAAAGACAATATATCTAGAACACACATCAATATCTATATTAGACCTAAATTACACAACAAAATTGGAGGAAAGCAGTCAAATACAAATCATGTAGTGAATTAAACTCCAGTGCTGAGTACAATGTTAACATGAATTAAACTAGGGAATTAGGATAATTATAATATATGCTGTAATATTTTGTAAATGAGGCTTGAGGAATTAGGTACTGAAAGTTGTCAAATCGGTATTGCTAAGTTAAAAAATAAGACAATTACTGGTGTTAAGAATAAATAAGATATGATCCAGTACCCATGTGGTATTGCCTTGACTGATTTTTTAAAAACTGATTCCAGCATCATTAGTTCACAGAAAATATCTGTAGCTAAAAGATGAGTTAAACGGCTAATTAAGGAACAGATTTATAAAGCATGATCTTCTCATTCCATTCTCTCTTCATCTGCCTGTATCTCCAAGCTATAAAGGGTCAGAATATTCTGTCCTTATTCAAGCAAAATTTGTTTCAAAACTATCATTGATATCCCAAGTAGCTGAGGACTGCTCCTATGATAAATAATTTACTATATATTATCACTATACACTATTATCTAACTATGACGATATCATAGGAGAGTAGTATATATAATTTAAAAAATGCTACTTTATATTTTGGTAACATTTTGGTAATATTGGCCCGCTATTCTAAGTATGATGGTCCAGGAAATACATGAGAGACAGGAGTTTATGGGAGTGATGTCTTTTATTGGATCAACTCTATGGCTTCTCCAGATTTATTCTAGTATAACGGAGAGCAGAATCAGGCTGAAAGGGTTAGGCTGATATTGTTACAGGTGCCTTAAAAATGAGAAGCCCAATCCAATCCAATCCAATCTAATCCACCTAAATTTCAAAGGGAAGTTAGGTCTTAACTCCATTAGCCACATTTTAAAATTCATTAGAGCATATATTCACCCCAAAGCTCTTTTCTATCCTTACTTATACCCCATGTAATTCAAATGTGAATGTGGTATTACATGCTGGTCTGCCTCAGATTGCATAGACTTGATTTTTTTTCTTGATGTGCACCTAGCTATATTTGGGCTGCATGATTATGTTTCTGTGGAATGTTGCCCTTCAGCCACTTGAAGCTATCTGCAGCGCTTGCTAGAATGGCATTAAAACTTTTTACATTTTGTAACAGTAACACCAACTCATAAGGTGAGTTTTGTCTATCTCCTTTTTTTGGCTGAAAAGCATGAATAGCCCTTTATACCTTGAGGAATAACTTATCAAGGCTAAAGCCTCATAGCCCAAGAAACAGTTTGGCAAAGTTCTTGCTCCTTGAGTACATTTATCAAAAAGATACCAAGAAAAGTAGAAAGAGAATGGAAGGGTTGACTTCATGTCTCTGAGTTACATTTCTTATTTTCCTAAACTTAGTTAAAAGTTAGAAACCTTAAATGAGCAAACTAGTTTGAAATTATCAAGGAGCTGTTTGACCGTGATAGCATCAGTTTGGAAAGCATTTCTATGCAGATGTACTGTATAGGAATAACTTCTCCAAATGTGCTGCTATATTAAGCACAGCCATGCTCTTGCAATTTCAGATGTAGATGTGTTGTCTTTTTATTTGGTTTCCATCAAAATATACTTGTCATGATGAGCAGAAAATCATTTGCCATTAATATCTGAATTCCCCTAAATTCCTCAGAAAACAGATGAAGTACCAAACCTTTATTTGCAGTTGAATATGATTTTCTTTCCTTTTTGTTTGGTTGTTTTGTTTGTTGTTCTCATTTCATTTTTGTTATGCTTATTTCTTTGCTGCAGAGATTTTTGGAGGATTCCATACAGAGGGTTATTTTTGCTAAAGAAAATCGGAGATGTATTAACTTTATTGGAAGAGCTAAAGCGAATAATGGAATCTTTAGCAGGGAATGCACAAACAGCAACTTTTTGGATATTAGATGCTGCATCTCACAAGTATTGTATGGACAGAGTGTATAGAAACCAAATTCCATGCTTTTGATTATACATCCAACTCATCTCTGTTTATGAATGACGGCTTTCTCTCTGTGTGGGAAATTACTCTAGGCTTTTTACATTGCACAATAGGGCCATCTGCATTTCCTTATGGTTAGAAACAGGGTACCTTCATGCCTACATTTGCAAAATGCATTCAAATAAGCTATTAACCAATGACTTCCAGACACTGTGCACTGTCACTAGTATTTCTATCACCAGAATACCATGCAGCCAATACAGCCATCCTACTATTAAAAAGATCCATGGTGGGAGTGGATATGCACATCAAGAAGTCAAAAAAGCCGTACCAGTACACCTAATCACCAGGGATCCTGGTGCCTATATATATATATGAGACACCAATATATATGGTGTACATTTCATTTAATTTCAAATGAAACACCAATATCTATCTATCTGTGTTTCATTTTAGTCACAGAAAAATTTGGATTTTGGGTTCCTTTTTTTAATCCGAAAATTGGGGATTGTTTTTTATCAGAGTAAACCGGGATCCCTGCTAATCACATAATACACATGCCTCAGAATTGCCATTTCCAAAAATGTGAATGTTAACTGTTTGATTTATAATCACAGAAAATGCAATATTTCTTTCAAATCTCCAAACAGGAGGGTGATGGTGGGGAGAGAGGAATTTTGATTTGCAACAAACATTTTTCCAGGTCCTATGGGAAGTCAGTGGCAGTAAACTACCACCTGAGCTTTTAAAATATCTCAGTGGTCAGTGTTAGCAGATTTTGCTAGCCAGCTTCACGGTATCATATTTTAACATATTGATATTTGATTATTAAAATACATCAGCTACTACAATCTCTATATTTGCTTGCATTTACTAGGGTAAGAGAAGACTTCAGTGCTGGCTGATTGGAAATGTCTATTATTGCTGCTTATATAGTTTGCATTTATTCCCAGTAAATATAGATAATTTTTCATATCAAATTATATTGAAGAAATATAGTAGGGGCTTACCTGGTATAAACTGGCATAGTTTCATTGAATTCAAATGAGCAATGGTGATTCACATTAGCTGAGAATCTAGCACCCAGGTGTTCAAAGGTGTGTGTGTGTGCGCATGTGCGTGAGTATACATATACATGTATATAAATATACACATAAGAAAGTGTCTCAAACATTGTTCCTTAAGATTAGTAAAATCTACTTTAAATATAGGGAGCGAAAAAATATATATTACCATGAACACATTTGATTTCCCAGATGTGCTGAATGGAATGCAATCTTCTGTTAGCGGAATATTGGTGATATTTTCATGTATATTTCACCCTGCCATTGGTACATATACAATTCTTCATACCTAAACTATGTAAAAATAGCTACAGATCATATAAGATGGGAACTTCTTATGGAAAAAAATGGATTCATTGCTATACAGATGTGCATTCTTCTGGTCTTCTTCTGTGAACTCAGTTTCTTTCTCAGTTGTTTGTTAAATCATCTGTAAAAGTCTAGTATTTTTCAGGAGGCGGCCTGTAGTGATGTGGATGGTGTTGCTTTAGATGAGGCCCTAAACAATGAATAGAGAAGTATTATTCAACATATTTAACCTGGTATGTAAATGATATGAAGAGTCTGAAGAGGCTATAAGGTATGAATAGTTTTGAAAACCTGATTTCAAAAAAATGTAAAGTGGGGGTGCACAAAATACAGCCTGCAGCTGCTCTTCTGAAAGAGAACTGTATCCAGTCCATGGCTGCTCTGGCTTTAGGTGCTTCTCGTCCTTCTCCCTTCCCGTTCTGTAGCTGGCTACAGCAGCAGCAGACACTCTCCTCCCCAGCCCAGCCCAGCCCACCCTGTCTCACTTCCCAGTGTAAGCTCCAAGGCAGAGGGTATGAGCTCCTGGTCAGGTTTCTGCCCAGTGAGTCTATCTGTATGCAGCTCCAACTGTGCTGCCATATGCAGACCAGACAGCCCAGCCTTCAGCGAGTTGAAGTTCAGGTAAAGTTTTCCCCACTGGTGGAGGAGGAGGTACAGGGGAAGAACAGGAGCCATGGGTTATCTGGGCCCTGGTGTGCCTGGGCCTGGGCCTGGGCCTGGTAGGGATGCCAACACCACTAACGTAGTGCCATGCTGTGTTCCTGTATGCTGCTTTGGGTTATGTGGGTGCAGCTGGTGTGACTCCTGTTCACCCTGGCCACATGCCAGGAACTTGAGGGGCCCTAGGGAGAAAGGGCCTGGGAGCCAGAGGTTATCTGGGCCCCTCTTTCTCCCTACACCCTTTTCTCTGCCCTGAGTCCCCAGCACACAGCCAGGCCAGTGTTCCTGTGCATTTGATGACCTATTATGAGGGAGGTGAGGGGAGTGCTGACCTGGCCCACAACAGCTCACCAAAACTCCCTCTGGCCTAAGTAATTGCCCACCCTGGCTGTAGAGGAATCTACCCGTGCCAACAGCAATGCATTTGCAGTCTTGATGAATTCGGTGTGATGATTCAAGGGTGAAGGGACCCAAGCAGGTGAATGAAAGAGTATTTTTTTCCTTTTTTGGAGTTTTCTTAAGATTAAGTAGTGCTTAGAAAAAAATCCTAGAAAATGGCATTTCGTTGTAGCCTGACCTCACTGATTCGAGCTACACATTGCTGATAATTTAGGTAGTTATTTGTGTCTAATGAAAAACATCATTTTGTGTTTGGTTGTATCTGCAATCAATAATTTACAACATCAACTAAAATAGCATGCAATGATTTGTAGGCACACTCTTCATATTAGTATACCAACTTAAAATTAGTGGTAGACTAATTTCATCTGGCAATAGTACCAATGTCTAATTCCAGCACCTTTGTAAAGTGTTTCTTTTCTTAGGAACCTCTAAACATAATCCTATTGAGTATCCACTCCTGAGTTGGGGGGGACTAATGGGAACCAGTAACTCAGGGAACTGCTAAAATATGAAGAATCTTTTATCTTTGGATCCTTTGGGTAAAGGGTTTTTTGTTTGTTTGTTTGTTTCTTTTTTCCCATTTGATTAGCAGTGGGTAGGGTCACATAGTCCTCTGAATGAAGAGGACTGAAATTAGTGGTATTCTGCTATGGGAGATATGGAACAGAAGCTTTGAATTCTGTGACATCAATCAGCCTTCCCTTAATGAATGGAACCTCTTGGGAGCTACATGGAATTCTAGATGGAGTAGGTCCTGGCCTACTGTCTTCTCCTCATTAACTACCAACCCAACATTAAATTCCCACCTAAATTAATGCTTCTGAGCAGAGATCCTGGTTTTCTCTGATAATCCTCCCCGCCCCGCCCCCCCAATTTTCAGCTTAAAAAAAGTAACCCAAAATCCCCATTTTTCCATGATCAAAATGAAACACTACTATATCTATCTATGTATTAGTGGTGTTTCATTTTGATCACGGAAAAATGTGGATTTTGGGTTACTTTTTTTAACCCGAAAATAGGGGATTTTTTAAATCAGAGAAAACCAGGATCTCTGCTTCTGAGGCACCAGTTAGTTACTGGATTTCATCTTTCTCTTCTGAGCATGGCTCATTATCAGGATTCTGGATGCATCACTTAGAAGGAGCACTGGCTCAATATTCCCAGGGAGGCAGGACAGGTGTAAAAGGAACAGAAACGGTGTAAGAGGACACACGACCTGTACATATTTGGATGGTTTAAGAGGAATCCTCACATCATTGCTTTGCAAAGGAAGTATACATGCTTCTCCCTGGCTTCTCTGCCACCCGCTAAGGCACTGTTTCTTAACCTTTTCAGGGCTGGGGCTTTTTTTACACCACTTTTTTGAATGTGGCAGCACCTCAACTTAATTTAGTGCTTCTTAACCAGTTGTTGCTGCCTCCATATAAAATTGTCCCATGTGCATGCTGCACAGCCAGCCTGGGAAGAGCTGCGACATATGCACACCCCCTACTCAGGACTCTGATCAGCCTAATGTAGGAAGGATCTGTCACACACTTTTTAGGTGATGCTTAATGCACAGTAGCCCATTTTACTGCACAGTAGACTAATAGCACTTTTTTAATGCAGTGCTTTAAAATGCAGTAAAATAGGCTACTGCACATTAAAACAGTAGATGCACCCTCTGTTTCTAAGAGGAGTGGGAGGCTACAGCCTCCCAGGTCCTACCTGATAATGCAGGCGGAGTGAGTGCATGGCAGTTTTACCTAGCTGCAAGCATGATGCCAGAGCCTGCAGCACAGCACCCCTGGGGGGCGGGGGACTTAAGACTTAAGAGTTATTGAACAAAAATGCAGTGCCAAATTTTTATCCTGCCCTAGTAATATTTTTCAGTCAAGTATTATAGGGACCATGCTGTGACAGCCAGAACTAGAGGGATTAATAAGCAATAAATATGTGCTTCTTGGAGGCATTTGGTATTTTGCCTAAACAGGTAATATTAGTTAATATAGGCTTGTAAGTTTGTAAACTGCAAATGTAACTTGTCTGTCATAAGTTTAACCAAAATGACAAATTAACTGTTCATGGAACTGACTGGGCCCCATAGGCGAAGCTGTAGCTGTAAGATTAGGAGACACCAATGGTTTTTTGCTCAGGGTTCAGCCTTGATGATAAAAACTGCTTGGCACACCCAACACATTCTAGGAAAGCATATCCCAAGAAAGCATATTCAAATGAAACCTAAAAGGGGTTGGGGCGTAGGCGGGGCAATGTCAATTTCAAACCTAAAGGTGCTTCATTGTAATTTGCTTATTGGATAAACCCGAGTCTGGGTAGTAACATTTTATGATAATTTTTAACACCTTTCAATTCCATAGGGTAACAGCTATAGGGCAACATTGTGAGTGGCTCTGAGGCCAACATATTAGCATAAGACTAGGTATAAAAAGCACGTGCATCAGGTAACCAGCAGGAAGGAGGGAACAGAATGGTCATTTCTGTTCCATGCCCAGACCCCAGACTCCTGGTGTGAGTGAGGATCGGATCCTGATCAAGGGATCTTCCCCGGTAACCCTCTGACAGTGTTGATTGGGGACGCCTGACTTCGCTGGAATCACTTGACACGTACCTGGCATTGAAGGACTATCAGTAAGTTGCCAACCCATGTCTGTCTATCTGGTGTTTTGAACAGCCCAGTGGATAATACCCTCGCAGTTGGCCTGCAACAGAATTGATCTATCTGTTGTTATTATCTGTTGTTATTATTTACTATTAGCTCTTTAATACTGCATTATCTGCTTATTGCATTTATCTTTCTGTTACCTGTTGTATGTGTGTAAGCTATAATAAATTTGCCTTTGCTTCACTCCCAACTTTGCCTCCTCGATCCGAAACTGAATCAAACAGCCCAGTTGGCCTGTGATAAAACTGATACACTCACAGTGCCCAGCTGGTCTGTGACACCATGCCCCAAAAGTTAGAAGATAGTTAATATTTCCTTTCAGTTTATGAGGTGCTAAGATGCCAGTTAATGCCAATTGTTATGGAATGTGTATGTCTGAGTGTGGGATCTGTACACATGGAAATATATATCACCAAGCTCTGCATATCAGTTGCTTTAAAGCCTGGCTAGTACAGGTTTTTGATCACTTCCAGTTTGGCCTGGATTTCAGATAGCAATCTACAGGTGAGAGGTTCTGTTTCCAAATACACTGATTCTTTTAGAGCTCTTAATTCCTATATTCCCTCAATTATTATATTTTTTTGCATTTCTCCTGGATCATCTTTTTATCTCACTGTTCCTTATCCTTATATCTTTGTTTGCACACAAAGCAGTACACTGATTGCAATATAAGATTTTGGTTTCATTACTATTGTAGTCCATAACAACCACAACAACACCTGAGACAATACTACCAGAACATTTAAGTGGCCTTCCTGCATTTATTACTTTCCTGAGAGAGCAAGCTGGATGTATTGAGTAATGAAAGCTGATACACAGCATGTTCCTACTGATCTCTGTTACAGGGATGTAAATATGGTTTTTAAAATTATCCGCTTAACCTCCTCTATTTCTATCAGTTAAATGGTTAACCGATAATACATACCTAGTCCCAGCTGGGGGTAGAGAACCCTGGCCCGGTGGCCACCCTGCCCCAACCCACTATGGGGGAGGGCCCACAGCCACATTGCCCAGAGCAACATGGGGAACCAGGGGCTGCACAAAGACCTGTTGGACACAGCTGCTGCTCTCTGAAACCTTTGATGAGGGGGTGAGGGTAATGAAGATGGAAAGCCTCGATAGACAATACAGCCCACGAGAAGGAGCAAGTGAGGTACTTTCCCAGCTGCTGGAACCGCAAATGCACTGGGAGGGAGACAGCAGGCACTGCAAGCAGGGGTTGGGTTTAAACTTTAAGAAACCCTCTTATCTCCCTTCAGACCTGTTTCTAATTGCTTAACTGACAAATCATTAGGCCTCCCACTGTTTTCCTCTTTAACCTCACAGCCTACAGGTACTAATCCCTTCTCCCTCTCCCATTCCCTCTTCTCCTCCTCCTTCCTCCCTCCCCTCCTGCCTGCCTTACTGCCTTCCTGTACCTGAGGCACCAGGCCACTTCCATTCCCACCAGACTGCGCCATGCACTAAATGTTGTTAACTGGTAATGCATTACTAGTATAACTATACTTACCATTTAAGTGTTTAAACATTTAGGATTTCACATCCCTACTCTGCTATCAGTAAAGGGGATTTGTCTGTTTTTTAACAGAGCCAATATCTGTGTAATAGATTATTAGATTTTGTACCAGAATGTTTCTCACTGTCTCTTGATTCACTGATTGTGACTATGATTTTTAAACCATTGTTACATCTCTCCCAAGGCACAATATTGCAATATCTCCTTTAGGATGAGAAGGAAGCATTAGAGATTATGGGAACCAATGATAGATTGGATGCAAAAAGAGGTTATAAGAAGAATCATCATCATTCAAGCTCTGAGTACACTGAAGCATGGATCCAGCCTGAACAGCTGTGTCATTTGGCCCATGGGGCCAGATCCGGAGTGTGGAGCCACGTCATCTGGGGCAGGAAATTTGCCAGTGGAATGAGCAGTGGTTGCTGCAATTAATATTGCCACTATCAAATTTCCAGCCATTCCAAGTGACCTGCGAACCAGCTTCAAGCTCCAGCTCTAGCCTATGAGGAGCCCCACACTACTTATCCAGCCCACAAGACCCCTGCTCTAAAATACTGAGTTCACTTACCTTTATATAAAATGGAAGAATACAATGATAATTATGCAGTAAATATACAACAAAATTTTTGGAGGATCTAGTGGTTCCTCCAAAGCCTATGGCTGTTGGACTTCCTGTACCCAATCTCATCTAAAATCAGAACATAGCAGTTCTGGATGTATCAAGTCCCTGGGAATTATAGGCGTCATAGGCATATGCCACACAGACTGGTCAAAAACCTGGCAAATACTAGACTACAGAAACTGAACAAATGAAAAGGCTTAATTTGATCCCTTCATTGCTGCTGCATGGAGGACTGGAGTTTAAAAACTACTGAGTTTCTAACAGTACATCTCATTTTAAGCACAAGGAGTATCACTGGATTCAATACAATCATTAAACCCAGAACAATCTATTTAGGTGTAGGCACTGAAGAGAGGGCAAGGGTGCTAAAAACTCAATTAGAGTGGTAGAAAATGTTTTCAATATTTTTCACTGCACATATCAAGCACACTACTGTAAGCTTACAGTACTTACTATGGGATGAAAATGGTGGCAAGTCAGGCGTTCGGAACGATTTTATTGTAGCTGGTCCCTCCCCACCTGTTGTCAGTACCTGCACTTCTAATCGGTAAAGCATCGATGGCCTCAAATTGGACACTGTCAGCACATAATGATCCTAAAAATATATGAATGAAACAAATCTTATGACTGCTAAAATTAATACATACAGTTGCTCCATCTGGAAGTTATGCATTTAGTACATGTTATCATTCCCATAAATATGCATCTGTTTGAAAAATTAAGTAACACCCACAGTTGATTTTCCTACAATTTTAGGATTGCGTACATTCATTATTCAGCTCACTGCTTTGTTTTAGGCTGTACCTAAATGGTTGACATCATTGTTTAACAGAACAAGAATCTGAAACACAGTCAGTTGTCAGTTTTCACCCACAGGATTTTGTATTTTCTCCTTTTGCTTTATAATACAATTTCCCCCATAGTTTTTAAGACGTCATTTGTGCTTTTAGTGAAGCCAGTGCCTTATGAATCTAAATTCAGTTCTGTAGCCCAGGTCTGTCCAACTCTTGGCCTCTGAGGCGTTAATTTGCAGCCCACAAGCCCCCACCCAGTTGCTACTACCCCCCTCCCCAACTGCTGCTGTTACTACTGGGTTTCTGGGCTCCTCCTACTGTCCCAACTTCCACTTCTTATCCCTGCCCCTGGCACAGCCCGTGAGGGCCAAGGGAATCCATATAGCCTGTGCAACTGGGGTGTCCATGAGGTCTTGAAGGCCTCCACAGCATGTAGTTGGTGGGGCATGTGGGCATCAGCCACTAAAAAATTGAACAGCACTGTTCTAATTAGTTCCTCAAAATTAGTATCTATCATTAATGTTGGTTATTGGTAAGTTTTATTTATTTTGCAGCTAGCAAGTCTACCACATGCCTCACAAAATATTTTACAGAAGCTGAGGTCTGTCTTGATTTGTAAACTAATGCCAATTTTGGATCTAGAAGCAGAGCTATAGCTGATAGGAATTTGTGTGTTTCCTTTGACTTCAGTAGAACTGTACCAAGTTAAATCAACTGAGACTTTAGTCCTGATTTTTAATCCCTTTTTAAAATGATGGTGGGGGAAGGTGGGTATTGGTTCAGATTAATTCAGATTGCTTTCATTTCAACACTTGCATTTTATGTGGTCATTTACACCTCTGCAAGACAAATTCAGTTTAGGTGTAGATTACTTGTTATATAAGAATGACTGTGACGGATTAGTGACTAATTACCACAGAAGGAGCAAAGTGGCAAAGAATCAAATCCTTGGTTTAGCTTTTCCCAAGTGCATTAGGACCCAAGAAGTACCCTACAGACCAGTGCAGTAGGACTGTAGGATGAACAGCATTAAACAGTGCACAAATGTATACACGATGCACACTTTGCCATATTAAAACTTGCCAGAAAATTACACAGCAATTCCTTCAAACAGGCACTGTCCATAGCCCATAGTGTGCAGAGCCCATTTGGAAGGGTGCGGGGCCCCTTTTGGGGGGGGGGGGGGGGGGGGGGGGGACCCAAAAAACCAGGGCTCTGCAAATAACTAACTTTTTACTTCTCTGCACACCCAGATCACCACTGCTGGAGCCCCAGGAGGTTCCCAGGACCCCAAGTAAAGCTGCTGGGGCCAGTCCAGGTACTGGCCCCAGCCTCCTCTACCCTACTCTCCTCTTCTGTACCCTGGGAGGGGGAAGTCCATGCCCTTACCAAGAGGCTAGAACCTGCCTTGGAGGAATAAGGCTCTTAATCCCTCCTGCCAGAGCTGTTCTACTTTATATATTATACTTCAATAGCCAAAGGGAAAAAAGAGACTCTGCAACTATAGTTCTTATCTCCTCCTCTGTGTTGTTCACCTAGCCCATACTACTGGGAAAATTTGACCTGGGTTCATAGATAATGTAGTATATAGCTCATTAGCAAAAAGAACACATTTGCATTTTGGTTGTGGGGGAGCAAATATTAGACTGCATCCCACCAGTTTGAAACCAGTCTGTGTGTGATTAACTTTCGTTATGTTACAGGTATAGACTAAATTTGTATGCCAAACTTCTGGCTGTTAGAGTTATAGGCTGGTTTCTGATTACTTATACTGATAAAGTGTAATGTCTGTACCTGGCCATAGTGAAAGCTTGTTGAGCCCAAGGTATTTCAAACAAATCATTTCAGATTTAATGAGCTGGTATTGTCTAACAGAAGAAATAAATCAGATTTCTGACCAGTTCTGTTTCAGATGCAGGTGCCCCAATCTATCTCGAAGAAGTTAACGAACAGACTCCAAGGTTGTGTCCACATGAGCATGGACCTTGCACCACTGCTACTTGTTCCTAGGGAATGCCTGTGCCATGTGCTTTGGTGCAACAAGTTACTAGAACATACACTTTGGTGTGGGGCAAATTTACCCTGCCCACCTCCTCCTGGATCTTCAGCCAGGGGGATCTAGAAGCTGGGGCCAGCACCTGTGCTGGGCCCAGCAGTATACAAAGCTGGAAAGCAGCTCAGGGTTACTTGCCCTCAGGAGCTTCTGAGGCCCAGCCACTTGGTACCTAGGGACACTAGTCCCTTGTGCCAGATGGACTGCTGAAGCAGTCCTAACCTAGAGAGGCCCCTGCACCTGCTACCCACTGCAGCACTCTGGCAGTGGGGGCTGCTGCCTGGCTGTGACCTACTACCATCTGCAACAGCATCCACTCCCTTGGACCTGAGGCCCTATGGTTGCGTGCCTGCCAGACCCAGATGGGGATGGCATGGCCATCTGGGCTATGGGATAGTCACTGCAGCAGAGCCTTCTGCACCTCTGGGCCAGCTGTCAGTGGGCCACGGCTGCACAGTTGGCCTTTGGGAGGCACTGCTGTCATGTCTTCTAGTGCCCTTACTCTGCCATCTGGGCACCTATTGCCTGGAAAATGTGCTCATTGAGGTGGTCCACTTTGAACGGTTGAAGTGTGTCCTCTTGGCCCCAAATGGCCAGGAGATCAGCCACCTTGTCTGCCCTCCAGCTGGATCCCTGGTGCTGGCCCTGGGCAGGCTCCTCTGTCCAGATTTCACCACTTGCCTCACCAACAGGGATTCTGGTATTCCCTGTTTAAGAACGGCAAATTCTCTGATAAATGCCCCAAATGTTGTCATTTAAATACCCCAAATCTGTGTTCTTCCATGATTAAAATGAAATGCCACTATATAGACAGAGATTAGTTGGCTGATGTGTTATTGACATATTTACAATTATAAAGCAATTTGGAAGCTCACCGATATCTCTATCATCATAATAAAATGAATTCTAAATATCTATACACTTTGGCATTTGATTTTGGTTTTTTTTCATAGAAGAATCAGATCTGCCCTTGACCCCTTCGCTCACCAGGATGTCGGACATAGAGCAGCACAGGATGCAAGTGCCCTGCCCCTTTCCCCTCACTCCCAGCCCACAGCCCCTCTAGTGCCCCTCACTAGCAGCCCCTGCCTGCCCCTCACTACCTTTTTCCTGGCAGCAGTTCTGTCCCAGCACCAGGACATGAGTCCAGCTGCAGTTGTCCTACCAGCTGTTTTGTGGTTTTGAGCAGTGCCAGCCCTTACTGTTCTGCTCCCTGTGCCTGTGCCCAGGCCTCAGAGATCCTCATACCGTTCCTTGGAAGCCCTTGACTGAGACTCAGGGACTAGCCTGGGCAAGCCCCTTCACTTCCAAGCCAGCCACCCCCTGTACAGGCTGCTTTAGTGGTATGGGGGGGCTCTAGGACTGGTTCTGGTAGCCGCTCCTACCTGGAGTGCTCCCCCATCCCCAACCTCCATTTCTCTCTCACCCACACACGCCCTTGCTTCCAACTACACCCCTCCCCCAGACAATCATCCCCCCACCCTCAGTAGTTCCTGGGAACAGGAGCCCCTGTAGGCTGGGGCTGCATGTTCTAGGACCGATGGTTTGTTGCGGGGGGTTGGGAGGGTTTGTGGGTGGTGTAGGGGTGGGTGTAGAATTTGTGGGGGTGAGGTTTGTGGGGGAAGTTTGTGGAGGGGGTGGGATTTGTGGGTGGGTTGTGGGGAGGTTTGCAAGTGTGGGGCTTGTGGGTGTGTGTGAGGGGTTTGTGGGGGTGCTTTGGGGGTGTGTGGTTTGTGGGTGGGGATGTGGAGTTTGTGGGTGGATTGTGGGGGGGTTGTGGGTGTGGGGGGACTGTGTGGGGGTGAGGAGGGTTGTGTAGGAGTGGTGGGTCCCTTGCGCACCCCCCTGCACAGCACACAGCCTTCCCTCCCCTGCAGCAGCATCAGTGGGCTGTTGGTGTGCTCGTGGTCTGCTGTTGGCAGAACCCCCCATGGTGCATGGTAGTGCCTGAGACCCTGGGAATTTATGTGGTGCATGAAGTCAGCCCCACCTGATGGTATGTGACTTTGGGCAGGACCGGGCCAGCTTCTGCTGCCCTCCAAGGCACTGCATGCAGAAACCATGTGCCATCGTGCCGGGTGCAAATAGCCAGCCCAGCCTGCTGGTATATGACTTTGGGCAGAACCAGGCCAGCTCCTGCTGCCATCCCTAGCACTGCACATAGGAAACATGCACCATTGGGTCAGGCCAACTTCATGGAGGCAGAAGCCAGTCCAGCCCAATGGTGCGCATATCTTGCGTGCAGTGCTGGGAGCCCCGGGTAGCAGCAAGAGCTGGCCTGGTGTTGGCTGAAGGCGTGTGCTAGTGGGCTGGGGCCAGCTTTGTTCACCATATGGAGGCCCTGGATGTCAGGTGGTGCTGTGTGCCACTGGGCGGCTCTGCCAGCAGTGGGCTGTGAGTGCCCTGATGTCCCACTGACGGCTGCTGCTGCTGTGGTGCTTATGGGGGGGCGGGGGTGTGCATCATGTGAGGGTGCGGGCAGGGGACCCACCCCTCTCTCACAATTCCCCCCCACCCCAACAACTCCCCCATCCCTACACAGTCTCACTCACCCCCACATCCCTGCTTACTAGGGACAGAGCTTGAGTCCGAGCCACTGCTGCCAGCCTTGCCCTGCTTCTATTTGCATGATGAAGCAGTGTGCTGGAGCAGAAGAGGCACCTGGCAGGCATAGAGATGCTCTGGCTGGGTGCTAGAGCATCTCTTTGGAGGACCCAGCCTCCAGTTGCTTCAGGGCATGCTCCAGGAGTGAGCCCTGGGCTGCTTTTTTCTGGCTTTTTAATTGTTTTTTATACCAGGATTTCCCAGTATCAAACTCAGAGTCTGCACTGCAGATATGCAGTATGGAGAACATTTTTTTGTTCCTAGCATGTCTCCAGTGGCATCTCAGACTGCTTTGAGATGCCTCAACAGGCACATGGTCGCTCATCTAGATGCAGCCCAACTGTCTTTGCATCAAGTTCAGGGTGCTTAAACAGTTTTCTCTGCCTGTGCTTCTGACTGCAGTGGAGCTTGCTGCCATCTCATCTTGAGTGAACTCTTACCTGTTTACAGATGTCACAGAGTAACTAAAAGCAGCAAGACCACCTTGCGCAAAAAGAGAGAGAGTACAGATTAAACAGAGACCTATGCCTCATTGAAACTGTGTCACTGCTGATGGTACAAATTTGCACTACAGGGAAATTTGTTTCCTTAGAATGACTGTCCAAAGACTCTACTGAGTGTCTCTCAGGATATCAAAGACTTTGCAATTACTTGTTACCATTGAAAAAGAACAACTTGATCATCATAAATGTCTATTACTGAAGAAATGATCTCTGCCTCTCTGAAGATATCTGTCTAATACAGCTGCTAATTTAACAATTTGTCATATTATAATACATGTTGTGTTATCAAGAAAAGCAGTTGGGCTTTAGACATATCCTCAGCAAAAAAGAAAAATGAATATATTACTGCATAAACTCATGTAGAGCTGGAGAACCCAGGGCACTTTTACATGTGCTCCAATGCATTCAGATTAGAACATGTCAGAGCAGGCTCAGATTAATTGAGTCTCCTGGAGCGTTCTAATCAAAACGCTCTAGCGTGCTGCAGCTTTTCCTGTATTCAGCGTCCCACATTTCAAAATGGCAATGGGGCTGCTTTAACTAAAGTTTGTTGAATGAGCTTTAGTTAGTTAGTAGCCACTCTAATTAAAACGCCTACCACCCCCAACCCCAGAGCACATGTATAGGCACCCCCAATGTACAGTATCTAATTCCTTATTAAAAATACAAGCCATGCATGTATATACAATTGCCCAAGCACTGAAAAGAAAAACATACTTACTGCTGGCAATATTTGTGACTGTGAAATGATGCTATTGGGTAAGCTGTTCTGTCTGCTTTCTGTAGTGACCTCTGCCCAAGTGACCTGAAACCCTGTCATGGGCTGATGAAGATTTGCTTTTGATATCTTCCAGGAAAAGTGACCAGTAATGTTACCTTCCTGAACAATGAAAGAGGCAGACAGATTCTCCGGTTTGGCTAACACTTTGGGAAGAATTTGTGCTGTAAAAAGACATGGTAAAAAGTTAAGTCAAACTCTGAGCACTATTTGAAGTAATACAGTATTAGTATATTTTGAGATCCCAAAGTCACACTCAGATTCTTGCCATGTGTATTTCTATATTCAATTTACATAGGATCCTAACAACTTTTTGCCATTTTAAAATCAGAGTAAATCATATTTCATTTGAATCCTGGACAAAATTCCAAGTTCAAAACCTGGTCCCCTTGGTTAGAGATGATATAAGTTGCGACCTATATGATCGGTAGGGAATAAAAGCATGGACTTCTCAGAATAAGAAACTGTATTTTCTTTACTGTGTTTTAGGCCACAATATCTTCTCTTCAGGGTATGGAGTATCAGAAAACTTGGAGTATCATGCAATTTGGGGAAGGAAAAAGAGCAGGGGGAAGGGAGGAGGAAAGAAATCTCTGCATAAATCAACAACAGGTCTGACATTAGCCTTGATAAAGGCCATCTAAACAGGAAATTGTATAAACTCAGTTTAGGAGAGCTTCAAGGAAATTTTGCACAACTGTTTCAGGCAGAAATTATTCATTTTGATTTTTCACTTGCCATTCATTCAGTCAATTATACCTGTGAGAAGTGAATAAAAATAGAAGACTTTATGCTTACTTTGCACAGATGTAAATGGCACAAGGTACAAGGAATTAGCATATCAGGATCACAACCTTAGGTCTTGTCAAAATGAAAGATGAGTGTTTGTTGGTTTGTTTTTATAAAAGTTAAGATATTAATTTAAACTGATACAAGTATACTAGTATTATCATCGGTATGGAGACTGTTATGCTGTGAGTGGGATTTTATTTTGGCTTATGCTTGGGAGGAGAGTTAACCAAAACCAAACCAGGTCACTAGTCTTATAATGGGAAGATTCATAAGGCACCTTATAGTGGTATAACCACCCTCTGTAGTTATAGAACAGGTATTGATATATAACAGGTGTTTTTCTGTGTTAACAAGTTGTTTTAATTAAGTATTCTATTGCTTAAAAATATAAAGCAATTTAATGTGTAACTGTACCTTGATATATATATTTAAATAAACCCATGACATTCTTTAAATAATGAAGTAGCACTGTAGTAACCTTGTTAGGTTGGCAAAACTATACACCTACATATTTAATTTTATTCTATTTGCAACATGCAAAAATTCCAAAAATATTTGGAAAACAAATAATGCTAAAGTAATTCTGTGGAGAATGACTGCTCTCTGACTTTTGTGAAAGATTAGCCCCTAGGCCGGTATTAATTGAGGTACATAAAACAATTAAATTCTATTTGTTTATAAACTTTCAAGATGTTTTATACAGCTTGGTTTAACTTGATATACTTATGTACTTATTCACTTGAATCTTTCTGGTGAGTTCTTTAGATCATAACTTACCTCCTTCAGTTGGGCAGCTAATGTGCTTGTGATTTTTTCCCTTAAGAACAGAGCAAGGTGGCGTGGTAAAGAAAATACTTTCAGCTTTGAAACGGCCTTTAGATTTTGTGGGCTGAACAGTCACTTTGTATTTGCATAAAAATGACAGGTCCTTAAGAATAATGTAGTTTTCCTAGACCAAGAAAGACAGAGTATGTTGCATACAAATCTCTTTTAAAAATATGGTTGTCAGAATGTTTTTTCTGATATACTTGTCACATGCAAATGTAGCTTTTATTCAGAGAACAAACAAATACATTCATATAATTATGATTAATTATATTCAGAAAATATGATCATGGTGATTAGATATTTTTTTCCACAATACCTTAGTCGTGCTGTATTAAAGCAACTCACTTTTATCACTTGGAACAGTCCCCTGTCTATGATGGCAGTGGCAATGGGAGAGTGAGGATGTAAATAGTAATCCAATTTAACAGAGTAAGAAAGCTGCCCTGAAAGACATTCTTAGTTCATGTTTAATAACTACTTTTAAGATGCATACAAGTTCCAATAAGATGTTACACATCCATTTCCTTGAGTTCATTCACCTCCATTATTCCTCTGTAAAAAGGGTTAGCAATGTTTTCTGGCTGAAGACTAGACTGACCTACACCAAGTCAGATGCAGGCAGAACAGCAGGTGTTGGGACCATTCACCACTGCTGCCTCTGCTGTTTGTTCCTATAGCACACAGGGGAAGTGCCCACAGCTGGCACTTGTTCCCACAATATAATGGGGAAAACATGAAGAGATGTGGTGGCTTCAAAACGGCATTTAAAGGCCTGGGTTTTTGGGGGAATTGGTTTATAGGTACAGATATACGCATTATAAGGGGCCAAGATGGGCAGCAGGGGTTAAATGGATTTCTAAAGACCTTGGGAGACACGCACACAGCTTCTAATGGCCCTGAAAGTAGACGGTCTGTCTAGCACAACAAGGACACACAGTCTAGGAAACAGCCTGGGAAGCAAAGGAAGTATGTACCATACCGTTCCATAAGACAAGATAAGTGACACCAGCAACAAGGTCTCAGAGAGCAGGGAGGCCTAAGTCCCAGTTTTGGGGGAACAGACCAAATTAGAAGAATGCCTGGGAAGCTATGTGGATGTGTCACCACAGAGAGACAGCCAACCAGAGATAGCCACGGATGAAGAGTCATCAGGAGTCATAAGGGGGAAGGAGAATACAAAAGCAAAGACTTGAGAGTAACAGAGGGTCCTTCTCATCCCTCCCGTCCCTCCCTGTTCTTTCTCGTCCCTCCCTTTGTCCTGTCCCTCCCCATTTTGCTCCCTGAGAGGGCCTCCCATCCCTGTCCCCTGGGAAGGGTCCCCAAGGCCACCATGGACAGAGGGCATACACCAGTGGCCTGTCTCATGCACGTCACTGGAGGGGGGCTGTGGGCCTCGGTATCTCACCTCCAGACTGCTGACACCTAAGAGAGAGGGCCTCAGAGTGAAGCCTGCATCCTAACCAGATTTACTTTGACTCTGATGACAGCCCTAGGATTGGTAGATATAGATTTGTTTGTATTGTTGCTTTTTTTGTTTTTACTCTGTATCAATAAATCTGCCTATTATTGACCAGCAGATGTTGTGGTTGGCCTGAGGGTTGTGCCCGCCCAGAACAAAGGTATAGGGTCTGGGTCCAAATCCAGCGTCAACAATTGGCGACTCCACTGGGACACAAAGGCAGTAACCTGACCAATGAGAGAATTTATTGATGCAGAGTGATCTATTCTAGAGAGGTTAGCTGAGACTTGTAGTAAGGTACACCTGGATGGTAATTGTGACTAGGGTTGTGAATGTTATGCAGGAGATGTTGTTTGTTACTGCTAACGAGGAGACTTTGTTTATCTGGGTGAGGCAGAGTACTGGACATGGTTACATGCTGTGGTCTGCTTGGGATTAAGTAGGAACCTCCCATTGTGTTTGCAATAGGAAGCTAGGGAGCAGAGAAAGTCATCTCTCTGCTGGAAAGGCTGTGTGAATGAAGAGAGTCCTTTGGCTCTAGGGTCCTTGGGAAGGGCTACAGTTTTTTATGGATGGTTACAAGAGCAGTTGTTTGTTTTCTGAGGAGTTTGTAAGGTGTAGATTACAAGTGCAGGTTATGGCAAGGCAGAGTGTTGTGCAGGCAATGCAGCTTCAGAGAGATCAGAGACAGAGGAATGTGAGACAGATACTCTGGGATCCCGTGTGCATCAGAAAATAGAGGCAGGAGATGGCACAGAAAAAGACAGGGTATGTTACTGTACCCCTGTTCAGGCAGTGGCAGATAATTTGTGATTGGAAGTGAGGGGAAACTTGGTTCTCCCCCACCCCCCATTCCAGGAACAGTGAAGGGCCTAGAAGAGATAGAGATTGTTACAGGAGCATAACAGCTTGTCTTGGGAAACATCAGGGTACAGCTGTGTAAACAGAGATCAGTGCCCAGAATGACTTTAAGTTGGAAAGAGGAGTGAGCTTATCAGAGACATGTTTTGTTTCTTCTCTGCAGACACTTAGTTGGAAGGTTTCCTTTTTGAGGTAGTAGGAGCTTTTCTGAAGGGATTGTGTGTGGTGTGCAATTCATTACCACAGTCTTTTGGAGGTAGCTTTCTTGGTCCTAGAATGGGGCTTGCTCGTGTGTGTGTGTGTGTGTGTGTGTGTGTGTGTGTGTGTGTGTGTGTGTGTGTGTGTG